TTCCAGACCAGCCTGGGCTACAGGAGACCTTGTCTCAAAAAACCCAAAGAATCAAAACCTGAAAACTCCTAGCATGTGCAAGGCTGTAGATTCAGTCTGAGGCCCAACGATGAATGAATGAATGAATAAATAAATAAATAAATAACAATAATATAAGAGCCATGCACAGTGGCACAGACTGGGAATCTCAGCATTTGGGAGATAGAGACAGAAGGATCAAGAGTTCAAGACCTACTCAGCCCTTGATGCGGTTGAAGGGGGGGGGGGGACCTTGGTCCTGCCTCAACTTGGTATGCCATGCTTTGTTGACTCCCATGGGAGGCCTACCCCTTTCTGAGGAGTGGATGGGGGAGGGGGGTGTAGAAAGGCGGTGGGAAGAGGGAACGGGAGGAGAGGAAGGAGGGGAAACTGTGGTTGGTATGTAAAATAAATTTTAAAAAATTAATAAAGTAAAATAAAAGAGACTTTGTCTCAAAACAATGAAAACAATCTTAAGATAATCTTTTAACTAGCATGCATGAGACCCTGGGTTTGGTCCTCAGTACATGGGGGAAAAAAAAGATAATATAATGTTTCAAATATGAGCCGGATATGAAGACACTGGATATACCTTGACCATTAAAAAGACCTATGTAGGGGCTGGAGAAATGACTCGGTGGTTAGGAGCACTGGCTGCTCTTGCAGAGGACTCAAGTTTGGTTAACATCCACACAGGTTCACAACCAGCTGTAACTCCAGGGGACCTAACACCTGTGAAAGCTTCTGCATGCATCTGATGCACATACATACACTCAGACACACAAACACACATATATAAAAAAAAGTAAATATTTTTTTGAAGTCCTACGTAATCATGTTGACCTTAAGTCCAGAAGTCTTATTTCTAAATTCTATTCATTTTCGGACTTGGCCAGAGAGTTATTCAAATAGATACTTACCAATTAATTAAAAGTGAAAAGCATTTGGAAGACCAGTAAACAAAACCTTCTAGAACGCCAAATACAATATAATTTTAAGCAAGGTCTAGGTTTCAGAAATATTACAATTATATCCTGTTTCCTGACTGCTTTGGGTCAGACTGTAAATTCAACCTCTCTTGATTCCTTTCTGTTCCCACCAAGGCCATTAAAAAAAATGGGTGTTTTCTCCAGATCGTAAAGAAAATGTGTAAGAAGGAATCTTGACTGTGATGACGCTCTGTAAGTGATGACTGACAGAGAATGATCTGGAAGCAGTGTGAGGTTCCGGCCACTCACTCAGACAACAAATTACCTCTGACACACAAGAAAACTACAGGACGATGTGGATGCGGGGAGGAGGGAAAAGCCCAGATAAGAACAGAGGTCATACAAGTGCCCAGCATGGTGGTGAATCTGTGACCCCAGTATCTGATCACATTAGGACCGAGATTTTGACTTCTAGCCCAGCCTGGGTTATTGAAGACCCTGTCTCAAAAAAGGAGGAGAGGGAATCTCAAAATTCTTCAAAAACATCTGCCTCAAAAAGCTTATTAAAAATAAAAAACTGCGGTGAACAAAAGAAAAGAAATACTACATGGGGACTGTCAAGGTAGCTCAGCAGCCAAGAGTACTTGTCGCCTGATCACCTGAGTTCGAGTCCCAGGACCCACATGGTAGGAGAGAAGTGAGTTCTGAAAGTTGTCCCTTGACCTCCACATGCATGCTGTGGAACTTGTTTGAACATGTGCACGAACATGCACACAATACACACTAATGAATTTATCATGCAAAAAAAAAAAAAAATGAAAGACTCCATGGCATAATTTTGGTCTTCCTTATACACCAATGAGAAGTCAAAACACGGTACTAATAACGTGCTCACAAAGTGGGAATCAATTTTCCTAATATGGCCAAGCCCTAAATATAGTCACAACTTTTTTGTTGTTGCTCAAAATGCACCAAATTTAACCTTATCCACAGAGGGAGTGGTGGCGGACAAACAGGCCGGGAACTCGAGAAACAACATCACGGCATCTCCATCAGCACTCCAATGACTTTAAAAGTCCTTGGTGAGGGCTGCCAAAGTGAAGATACCTGGATCACACAGGCCTTTTTCTCGCCAGACCTAGCACCTCGTTCTAGTCTGGGGTTCCAGGAAGAAAGAGGAGAAATTACACATCCTGATTTCAAAGGAATCCTACCATTTTGAGAAGTTATACAGCAGCACTAGTAGGCAGACAGGTAAAAGGCACCGAATTCCCTACCCACACCATCAGGTTCAGTTTGCCTCTCTGTAATGACATTGACTCTGATACATGGAACCCTCACAACTTCCCTCCCAAACACCACACACACACAAATACCAGTCTATTTAACGTTTCGTTCTCACATAGCTGGAGCCAGGCATGGCGGCACCCATGTTTAATGTAATACATACATTTGAGAGGAAGTAAGAGGGGAATCAGGAGGAGATCGAGGCCAGCCCGGGCTGCATAAGACTCTGTGTCAAAACACAAAACGAAAGAAAATCTTGTATAACTCTAGTGAGGGTTTGTATCTGTTTTAAATAAAAAAAAAATTTTTAAACAATACAGAAGATGAAGTTTGATCAAAATTCATTTCAAATGTGATGCCTCGGGTTTGTGATCCCAGCACTTGGGAAGCAAAGGCAGGAAGATGGCCAGCCTGGACTACCAGAGTGATATTAAAATATTAAATAATATTTAATATTAAATAAATATTAAAATAATAGTAATAATTTCAAAGTTTTACTTTAACTTTTAAAAGGCTTATTGTACTGACTCTAGACTTCTTCAACAATAAACTGCTTTTGCAGACATTCTGGACAAAAAGCACCACCAGAATGCCAGAATCGATATAGTGTGTTCATTTTTTTTTTTTAATGTTGAAAACTTAACCAGCAAATAAATGACTTTCTCAACATAAGCGTGCTGAGAAACAGTACAGGACCCCGGAAAGCATCTTCGGAAACTTATTACCCAAAAGCATAACTATGGGGATTTTAAAGACTAGATTCCAAGTCCATTGCTTAGATCAAAACGCCAAGACCTGCCACTTAGAACTGTGGGTCTTGAGCAAGCTTCTTAATACATGCTAATTCAAAGGTGTATGTTCTGAAGATGAACTATTAAATATCTGCTGCAGCTTTGTTAAATTAGACCCTGAGAGGTTTCATAAAAGCATTTCCCTCCCTTTCCACTCATCATGCGGCATCAGCCTTGTAACTGGTGAGGAAATTACACACTTTATTCCTCCGCTGGCGAGCTTGTCATACACTGCAAGAAAGAAGCTGCTTTTTTTTTTTTTTTTTTTTTTATGGCTCCACCCTTTACAACTTCAAAATACTGTCACATACTCAGGAGGTGGGAGCTGCCCGCAAAATGACAGCTTACAGGCTCTGGAGCAGAGGAGATGCAGGTGACTTTCCCTCCAGAGACCCTGGCAGGTACTCAGGGGCCCCCGGAGGTGCTCGGACGCGGGAGCAATCTAGGGAAATGTTGTGGGGAACCTGGGGGAAGAGAGCAGAGGATGTCCCCGAGGCTCCCAGCTGGGGACAGACTTGGAAAGCAGGGAAGGAGGACGGCGCTGGGGTCCCACCCCGGGGAAACAGCAGAGAGGGGACAGGGTGGTTCGTGGCTCTCGGACCCTGAAAGACCTGGAGAGAGGGTACTGGGAGGCCCCGGAGTCCCACCTGGAAGGTCCCTGGGAGGGAGAGAAGGAGGGAGAAGGATGGTGCCAGGGTCCCACCTGGAGAGAGGTGACAGAGAGACGTGGGGTCTCCCCCAAGAGAACCGGGACGGAGGGGACAGGCGTCCCTCCCGGGAGGAGCTGGGGGAAAAGGGACGAGGTGGCGCGGGGGTCCCGCCCGGGAGGAGGGGGACAGGGCGGCGCGGGGTGGGGGGGGTGGGGGGGGTCCCCATCCCGCGCGGCCCTCCCGCCGGCTCGCACGCACTCACCTGAAGGCAGCAGGCTCCTCCTTGGGCGGCCGGGCCTGGGCGGCCGCCGCGCCGCCGCCCCTTTTGTTGAAGAGCTTCTGGAGCAGGGTCGGGGCCATGGCGTGCACGCGGGCGGCCCCGGGCGGCCACGCTCGGGGACCCGGCGGCTCAGCGCGCAGCCCACGGCGGCCGCGCCGGGGCCATGGCGACGGGGGCGCGGCCGCCCGGGGGCGGGGGGGTGGGGGCGCGAGCGCGGGACCGCTGCAGCGGGCGGACGGGAGGTGCACGGGAGGTGCGGTGCCGCGGCCGCCGGCCGGTCATATGACGGAGCCGGCCCGCCCGGCTGACAGCTCGCACCCGCGGGAGGAGGAGCGCGGAGAGGGCAGCGGCGGCGGCGGCAGCAGCAGCAGCAGCACGAGGGAGGGGGAGGAGCACGGGGGAAGGAGGAGGGAGAGCACGCGGGAGAGGGAGGAGCACGAGGAGAGGAGGGAGGGGAGCCCGAGGGAGGGGAGGAACGTGGCGGGTGCGGGGAGGAGCGCCAGGGAGCAGCACGAGGGAGGAGGAGGAGGAGCACGGAGGAAGGAGGAGGGAGAGCACGCGGGAGGGGGAGGAGCTCGAGGGAGGGGAGGAGCGTGGAGGAGGCGAGGGGGGGAGGAGCGCCAGGGAGCAGCACGAGGGAGGGGGAGGAGCACGGAGAAAGGAGGAGGGAGAGCACGCGGGAGGGGGAGGAGCCCGAGGGAGGGGAGGAGCGTGGAGGAGGCGAGGGGGAGGAGCGCCAGGGAGCAGCACGTGGGAGGGGGAAGGAGCGCGAGGGACGCAGAGGAGCGCGGGGGGGGGGGGCGGGGAAGGGGGGGAACGGGAGGAGTGCGGGGGATGGGGAGAGGAACGTGTTGGGAGGAGTGATGGGGAGGAGCGCGAGGGAGTGGGGGAGAGGAGTGTATAGGAAGGGGCGATGTGGGAGGAGCTCCACGGAGGGGGAGAACGCATGGAGAGAGGCTTGTAGGGAGGAGGGAGTTCCGACTGCAGGGGTTGGGAGGGAGGAGCGCGGGAGAGAGGGAGGAGCAAGGCGGCCCAGCGTCGCCATTGGCCGGCTTTGCCCGCCCTGCGGCGACATCACTAGGGGCGCGGCCCGAGGAGTCCCTCGCGCGCGGCGCTGACCCGCGCTGGAGAGGAGGGCGGGGTGCGTGGGTCTCCGCACACTTGAGCCACTGAGTGCGAGAGCGAGACTGCGGAGGTCTTTGTTCTTTGGAGAAAAAGCCCTTGAACTTGGTCCTCGTCTTGCCGGGTACAGGACTCCCCAGCAAGAAGCTAGGGGAGAAACTTGGTGCCTGAGGTTGCTGATGGGATTCTGGCCCAAATCACTCACTGCGTTCGAGGTCTTGGCAAGCTTCTGCCGCGGCCAGAGTTAAATCTGAATGAATTTACAATTTATTCAGGTCACTGTTTTGTTTGGTGTCTTGGGCCCCACTGGTACCTGGGTCACACAACAAGCTGCAGGTAGCTAAGCCCTTATTAAAACACACACACACACACACACACACACACACACACACAATCACTAGCTTTAGAAATTTTAGAGAAAACCATATATATGGTTGCTTTCAACATATGGTTGCTTTTCTAGTTCAAATAATCAGGGCGCATAAGAAAAAAATCTTCGGCATGCACTTTGGTTTGGGGAAGAAGGGTGTGTGCTTAAATTCATTTGCCTATGCTATCACTCTTCAGATCCCCTGAGAGTTCAGTGTGCTGTGGTGCAAGACTCTAAAGAACCTGCGGTTATGAAGCATCTGACCACATTCAAAACAGTGTATTAACCTGTTTCGCAATACTGAGCTCTAAAGTTTTTCAGACGGTAGGTAGTAGAGCTAGAGTTACTTCGAGTTCAACTTTGTCTCCCTCAAATTTGTGAACGGTGAACAAATGACCCACCAAGATTTCTTGGACTTGACCAAAAGAAGACAGGTCTGGAAACATACTCAGTGGTTATAAACACATGCGGCTCATGCTCAGGACTGGGCGCAGCAAGCGCTTCAGAAGGCTCAGCAACCAAGTGGAACTCCAGTTCAGAGGATCCTACTCCCTCTTCTGGCCTCCTAAGGCACTGCACTCACATGCACAATCCACACAAGACACTCGCATATGTGGAGTAAAAATAAAATTTTAATAAAGGACATTTAGACTTTAAAAAGCAAACCTATTTCACAAATATGAATAATTAAAAATAAGGAGATGGGGCAGAGCTCTGGGGGGCTCAAGGCCCCAATCCAGCAGTTGCTTCTTCATGTCTTCGCCCCAGTCTCTAGCATTGCGGTATGGCTCTGCATGTAGCTATGGAGAAGACAGGAATAGTAGAACTCTGAACGCTTGGAGATGACAGAATAACAATGAACCGGGAACGGGCAGATTGGGAAAGGGCTGTCTTCTGTATGCTGATCTATCCATTAATCATGACTTGTTTCAATACATGTATGTTCTGTAATGTTTGGGTTTGATTTCTCTTAGGTTATCATGGACACTAGTAGTGACCTGCTGAGACCTGGTACTCCTTCTTCCTGACAAGGCTAGAGGGAAAATAGTTGCAAGAGGTTTCCCCCGCCTCCTCACTGAGATAGAATTATTAATATTTAAGATCTGGATAGAATGCTACAACTATCTTGATAGAAGATTGCAGATGAAACCAGGCCAAGAGATGGCAAAGACAGAGGCGTGAATGACATTATTAAGCCACCATCCTGCTATTCTAAATGGATGCGTTCTATTAGAAGAGAAATTTTATCTGAGTCCAAAATCTATAAGAGAAGTCCCTTTGTAAAATTTTCCCTATGGCTTGCTATATCATGAATAAACTTGTGTTTTTTGTTTTTTGTTTTTTTTTTGGTTTTTCGAGACAGGGTTTCTCTGTGTAGCTTTGCGCCTTTCCTGGAACTCACTTGGTAGCCCAGGCTGGCCTCGAACTCACAGAGATCCGCCTGGCTCTGCCTCCCGAGTGCTGGGATTAAAGGCGTGCGCCACCACCGCCCGGCAAACTTGTGTTTTTAACTCCTAGCATGTCAGAGAAAATAGGCAACACCAGTCGTCCCTTTCTAGTTTTTCCTTTCGGTGGGGACTTAACCTAGAACAAACCAAACGTGGTCTCACAGAACCCATGGTAGCCTTGAACTCAGTATGTAGCTGAAATTGGCTTCGAACTTCTGATCTTCCTGCCTCCGTGTCCAAAATACTAGGATTACAGATGTGTGCTACTCACTTGGTTTACACAGTACTGGAGATAAAAACCCAGGGCTTTGTGCACGCTAGACAAGCTGAGCTGCATGCCCAGCTGGCTCTGTTTTTGTTTGTTTTGATTTGATTTGGTTTTTGTTGTTGTTTTGTTTTTTTTCTAGTATTTCAGAATATTTATTTTTATCAGATTTTTCCTTTCTTCCCCATTGTGGAAAGACAATGGAAAATTCAAAGTTCCCATCAGTGATTAATAAAAGCTCTAAAATAATGACAAAAATAACATCTCCGGATTACTTTTACCTTAAAGAACATCGCAGTATTTGGGCCATTCGATAAGGGAAGAAGACTTATCTCATAGTAGTGGTTTGTTCCGTTGTTGAATCCACCTTGTAGGAGGTTCCAAATTCTATTTCTTAGTGGGATAGGATGACTCATACATCCCAGCATCCGGTGGCTGAGGGAGGACGATGGCCACAAGTTCAAGGCCAGCCTGGGCTACATAGTGAATTACACAGAGGAAGACCCTGTCTCCGAAACAAAACCAAAAGCACCAATCAGCACAGAATGTTTCCATCTTACCACTTTTGTCTTTTGTAGCATAGTTAGGAATAAATGTTGAGAGATTTTGTGATAATCTCAGGGAACAGGTGTGGTGGAACCTGCCTGTAATCCTAGCACTCAGGAAGGAGATAAAGAGGAGGAAACCTGGAGGACACAAAGTCATCCTCGGCTACATGTGGAGTTCAAGGCCAGTCTAGACTACATAAAACCTGTCTCAAAATAAAGAAAAAAGTTCATGAAATAGTTACCCTCAACTCAGGAATCAGCAAGCTCGCAAAATCTCTGATGGGGTCTGATGAGCCCAGGTGACAGAAGAGATAATTGACCGCAAACTGATCCTGTGGTGTCTGAAACAGAGCTCCATCTACCTGATATTCTCACAGTGGCAACCACGGACCCACACCGTACTAAACTCAGGAAATGTTTGGAATCAACATAGTAATTGAACATTTCCTCCTTTTTGAAACCTACATACATGTTGGCATGGTGGAGGTTTGAGATGGAGATAGACTCACGTAGTCCAGGCTGGATTCCACCTGGTTATGCAGCTGAGCACGACCTTGAACTCCCCATCCTCCTGCCTCTACTCCCAGATGCTGGGATTGCAGCATGTACCACCATGCCTGGCTCAGAACCTACAAGCCTGGCAACCTGGATTTGATCCCTAGGCCCCACAAAGTCTTCCTCTGACCTACACACACACACACACACACACACACACACACACAGACACACACACACAGACACACACACACACACACACATACACATACACACATGGCACAAATACATTGTCTGCTTTCTTAGTATTTCAGAATATTTATTTTTATCAGATTTTTCCTACTCTCTGCAGGGTGTCTTTGCCCAGCCCTCTCTATCCTTTAGGGGACTGGGGGATGAATCTGCTTTGGCTTACTGAACCACTTCACTGCCTTGTTCTCATTTCTGTCCTGAAACAGGATCTGCTGTGCACCCTAGGCTGGTCCCAAGTTCAAGATCCTTCTGACTTCCCCTCCCAAGATTTCCGAGGTGCACCACCGGGCCTCACCCAGTTTTTTTACTCTTATTTTGTGTGTGCCATGTGTAGTACGTGTACATGTTTGTGCAACAAGCCCATGGGGGGGGAGGGGTATTATGTGTATCCATATAGAGTCCAGAAAACATCAGAGATCTTCTTCTCTTGCTCTCCATTTTATGGTGTGTGTGTGTGTGTGTGTGTGTGTGTGTGTGTGTGTGTGTGTCTATGGTATGCACATGGACATGTATGGCATGTACACAGGAAAGGGTCACATACCCTACTCTGTAACTCTCACTCCCTTCAGACAAGGCCTCTCACTGAGCCTAGAGCTAGGCTATTGACCAGCAAGCCTGTGGCCTCCTGCCTGTGTGTCCATCCGTCCCTGTCCCGCCCCCCATGCCCAGCACTGTGCTAGGATTACAAGTATCCATTCCCAGATTTTTACACACGTGCTAGGGATTTGAATTCCGGTCTTCACACTTATGCAGTGCTGTTATCCAGTGAGCCTCCCCACCTTGGCTTGTAAGACAGGGTCTCTCAGGGGACCTGTGGCCCATCAACTCTGCTATCCTGGGGGGCCAGCAAGCCCCAGTGATCCTCCTGTCTCTGCCTCCTTTGCACTTGGATTATATCCACATACACCCAGGCCCAGTTTTTCATTAGGTGCTAGGAACCCAAACCTGGGTCTTTATGCTTGCACGGCAGGCCCTTCACCGATGGAGCCGTCACCAGAAGCACTCATAGTTTTGTTTTTCATCAACAATAATTTTAAATGTTTCTGGGGTACAGTGTAATATTTTGATACAAGTACTGAATTTTAAATGCTTATATCCAGCATTTGTTAGCTAACATACTTTTTGTGGAGAGAACATTTAAAATCCATTGTTTTCAAAATTTGGAAATATGTACACTATTATTAGCTATGTCACCATGGTGACAATATGTGGCACACAGAAAACTTACTCCTCGTGAGTGAGACTTGATCTTTGGTCAGTCTTCCCCTCCCCTGACACTCCCCACCTCCTATAACCTCATTTTATTGTTTGACCTGTTTAGGTCTGTATACAAGTGGGGTCATGTGAGTACTTGCCTTTCTGTGCCAGACTTATTGGCTTGGCATAAGGTTCTCCATGTTACCCAAAGTGAAAATGTTTCCTTCATTCATAAAGACCAGATAGTATTGTATTCTAGTTACCACCACATTTTCTTCTAACTCGATTTCTAATTGGTCTTAATAATAAGAATCCAGAGTCAGATATCAGGGTGAAAACTGAAAGATCAGAGAAGCAGAGCAGCCAGCCACCATGAAACGTCTTACTTCTAGGAATCCTCAGACTGAAAAGGGGCTGAGCTCCTGTGTCCTCCGGTTAAAGGTGTGAACTTCCACCTCCTGGCTCTGTTTCTCTTTTAGACTGGATCAATCTCATGTAGCCCAGGGTCACCTTGAACTCCCGATCTTCCTGCTTCCTCCTCCCAAGTGCTGGGATTAGAGGTGTGTGCCACCACTGCCTGGCCTCTGTGGTTAACTACCTCCGCTCTCTGATCTCCAGGCAAACTTGGTTAGAGCACAAACAAAATATCAGCATATTTTCTTTCTTTTTTTACTTGCGTATGTTTTTTTTTTTTTCCTACCAAAGCTGTAAATTAAACCTATGTTTGTACATGCTGGGTAAGGGCTCTACCACTGAGCTTCATTCCCAGTTAGTCTGGCTTGGTTTGGGGTATATTGTTGTTTGTTTTAAGGCAGAGTCATTATTTTGCAGCTCGGGATGTCTCCGATTCAACGTTCACCCAATTTAGCCCCCCTAGTGCTGAGATCACAGGCCTGTGCCACCATTCTTGGCTTCACAAATAGCTTTTCTAATTTGGGGGTTTCCGTTGTTGCTGCTGCTGTTTGCTGATCATGGTGGCATACACCTGTAATGCCAGCACTTTGGGAGACTGAAGCATGGGGATGGCTGCGAGTTGGTGACCAGCCTGGATAATTTAGTGAAACTCCTATCTTACACAAGCAAACAAAATAAAAGGTAACTTTTTGTATGTGCACTACA